GATTTTACACTTTCGTCAAAGCTAATCAAACATGTTATATATTCTTCGCTGCTATTTTATTATAAAATACTGCAATGTCAATTAATAAATTATTCAGCTCAGATTACTCGAAAAATATCCCGAATTTTACCCTTTCGTCAAAACTAATCAATCGTGCCATATATTATTCGCTGCTATTTTATTATAAAATACTACAACGTCAATTAATAAATTATTCAGCTCAGATTACTCGAAAAATATCCCGAATTTTACCCTTTCCTCAAAATTAATCAAACGTGCTATATATTTTTCGCTGCTATTTCATTATACTACCGCAATGTCGATTTATTCCTCTCAGAATCCCAGTACATCGCGAAATTATTCGAAAAATATGCCAAATTTTACCCCAACTCGGGTACTATAATTCGCAGGAAAAACAATATTTCCCTGAAATAAAAAGGCGAAAGCAGGTGGAAGGCAAGTCGGCAAAGGAAAATACGCGGACACGAGGGAAAGGTAAAGCGAGGCGAGGATCATTAAGCGACGATTCTCCGTTTAAATAATTCAGCGTCTGGCCGAGAGGACGGTTGCTGCTCGAACAGGTATTCGCCTAATCGATGTAACCGGCCAGTGTCGACGCAAAACGTACGGCTCGCTCTATTTCACGTGTACGATTGTCGTTTATCCGACACTGTATCTCGATTCACGCGTCGACTTTCGAGCCGATAGCATCTTCCATATGACGAAGCCGGGGTGGCAAGGCACGAGAAGGGCAAACGATGCGTAAAATCGATCAACGGCATCGAAACCGTGGAAACTTTTCGGGACGAACAGCTGATTCCACGTGGCCAATGCCAACTCTCGTGAAAGAAAGTTTAATTAAACGATCCAACTTCAACGCGATTTAACGTGAACCTACTATAGTCAAACTGGCCCATGGACGGAGAAGAAAGTAAACAAAAATCGAAAATTTATTATTCGTGTACCAAAAGAAGAATCACATAGTCGAATGATCAACGCGATGACACTGGATATGGAATTTTGAATCAAAAGTTTGGTTAATGAATTTAATTAATTTAATGATAGTCGACTTGCCAAATGTAGTGGTACAAATGGTACAGATATTATTTAGAATTGTATAGAATTATGTGGAACATATGGTATAATATTCGAAAAATCAGTAACGTGCTATGTAATTTTATAGAGGAATGTGAAACGCCATATTTGAAAGACGAATATTTTATCTGACTCGATTGCCGATCTATTAATAAGATTAATTTCATCGCCATTCTAATTTTTCCACCACGAAACAATCCTCTGGATCGTTTATAAGGGCTTCTAATAAATTTAGAAACTCTAAACAGCGCGATGGTTACGGCTCGCCTGGGCCCAAAAATCGAATTACATTTTCCAATGAAAGCCGATAAAACTATTCCAAAAATGAATGAATGTTTAGGAAAATGAAATTGGCGAAAGGAGCACGAAAAAACGCACTATATTGCATTAAATCCAAATTTCCATGTGGAAAGGGCCCACAGTGGGCCAGGAGACCCTAAAAGCTGGCCAAAAATGAGTTCTCACAAATACGAAAAATTTTCAAACTTTAATCCGCCATATTGGATCCATTATTAAAATTTCAAAAATTTTGATATTAGATTTGGAATTAGCGACCCAAAGAATGTGATATAACCATCGTTTGTACGAATCCCTCATTCCCTGAATTGATTTTCGATTTTAATCCGCCATATTGGACCCGTTATTAAAATTTCAAAAATTTTGATATTAGATTTGGAATTAGCGACCCAAAGAATGTGATATAACCATCGTTTGTACGAATCCCTCATTCCCTGAATTGATTTTTGGATTTTAATCCGCCATATTGGACCCGTTATTAAGATTTCAAAAATTTTGATATTAGATTTGGAATAAGCGACCCAAAGAATGTGATATAACCATCGTTTATACGAATCCCTCATTCCCTGGATTGATTTCCGATTTAAATCCGCCATATTGGATTTGATGATTCGAATTTTTTAATTTTGACCGTAGATTCGAAATCAGCGGCCCAAAAAACGGGACGTGTTCGATATTTAGAAAAATCGCTGCGCTTTTTGAATTTTGGCCAGTTTTGATGCGCTCCTGGCCCACTGTGCGGAGTGACGAGAAAGGAGGGATGATATTGGAAGACAGCGGAGCGTAGAGTCCGCGGGCGCTCTCGTGCGAAGGTCGAGTCAGTAGCTATAGAGGCAGGAGGGTGCGTGCGGGGTAGCCGAAAAAGGGGACAAGAGGGGCAAGATGCAACGCACATCTATTGATTCTCCTTCAGCGCGAAGGCCCGCGTGTCCCACTCACTTTCGGAAGCGCGCACGCACGCACTCGCGCGCTTTCCCCGGCCGCGTATATACACGGACACGTGGCTAGCTGCGCGGCACGGCTGCGTGTGTGCACACACGCGCACGGCCCAGTGCGTCCCGAGAGTTGAATGCAGGGCACAAAACGGCCTCGCTCCTTCTTTCTTTCCCTCTCCCTTTCCCTCACTCGCTCAGAAGGAAGGAAAAGGAAAAGAGAAAAAGAAAAAGAAAAAAGGGGGGGGGAACTGGATTTTGCAACCTCCCTTCCGTGCATTCCTACTATGAATTTCCTTGGCCGGCTGCATAAAGAATTAGAATGCCGGAACGCGTACACCGCGCAGCTTATGCCGAGGCACGGGATGAAAAAACGGGCACACGGGATACTACGAGTAGGGAGAGGCGTGCACAACGGAAGAGAAGGGGGTTCGCGTCCCAAAAGCCTGGTAGCCGCGGCTTTGCACTTGCAACTCTTCGCAGAGCACGATGCCGCGTACTCAAAATCCTGGAGGGTAAGCATCGGCTTTCGGAACAATGAAACGGATCGACGTGGAGAGACACTGCCTCTCGAGGCCGAATAACGAAATGCATGGAACTGGCGGGCAAGAACGACTTTACTGCCTTTGTTGGTTAAATCAGGCTATCCTATATCATCGAGATGGGTAATTAACCCGGAGCAACCGAGGATACGATTTTAGCAGGGACATGCCTTTCGACCGAGCATGAAAACATAAGTATGCGCGGGAAGAGCGACGTGCGAGTTCCGAAGTGAATATTATTGAACGGGTAATAGAATATCGGTGACCGCTCGGTTACTCCGAAATGAAGTAAGACACGATTCGATTGACACGGTGAAACTTCACGCGTAGATATTTAGCGAAGAAATAATTTGAAATTAAGAAACTAGGCCCCGATGCGTTTGAACTAAGATCAAAATTATATTTCATCGAAACGATGCTTGAACTTGTATTTAAGCTACGATGCGTGTGGAATAATTTTGATAATTATACGTAATACGCGAATTATTGCTTTTTGGCCAACGTCGAATTACGAGATCGAAATAATGCAAATTTTGAAATCAAAATTTTATGCATTGATCAATTTTTATACAAGTTTAATTATTTACATTAGCGATGGCGAATACGCGGGTAACGGTAAATTGACTTTCAATATGCAGAAGCGACCTTAACATAATGGCCGTCAAGACGATTTCGTCTTTGTTTACACCGACTGGAAGGCACGTAAGTGGTGTCGCAAAAACTATGAGATTCCTATTCGAACCGTTAACGAGATGCAAAGTATGATTCGAATGTACAGAAGTCATCGTACCCGGTGAAACCAAACATGCAGGAACACAAACATGTGCCGCCGTTAAGGTTACGAAAACAATCGTTCTAGGTTGTCGGAAGGGTCAATTTGTGCGACGAGAATTTATGTATTGAAATTCATTCAAGTACCGATTGGTTATCAACTACAAACAGGCTTATATAGAATTTAAAATGTAACAATATAATTTCTATTTTAATACTGTCACGAATTTCAATATCGTCGAAAAGAATATGGTTTAAGATCTGAAATTTTGTAAATAATTATAACCTAATAGAATTACTATTTGTACAAATGTATAATTATCAAAGAATAAAATATCTTTATTATAATATTTACTCTTACTGTTATCGTTTAAGATTTTTACGATATGTTAGAATATGCCATATTAGTTCGTGATATATCGTAATATATTACAATTATGCGTTGAAATGAAGACACTGAAAAAAATGGAGCAAAACAGTATAATCGAGTAAAATAAATATAAACTTACGAAAATCGGTTTTCCACGCATCCGTCTCCCGCCTTTTCCCTTATGCTTTCTTTTCTGAATTTTCCAAATGTCACTTTAATTTGTGATGTTAAAAGTTATTCGATTCTAACCCTGTCACGATGTACCACTAAACGCCGGTACCACGCGAGGAAGAAATTCATTTTTAACAAAACATTTCCGTTCTTATTTTAAATGCTAGATAACGGATATCACTCGCAGTAGGGTTAGAGATTTTTGTACCATTATATATGATGGCGGTAAAAAGATGACAAAGTATGAAAAATAACCGATTTTCGCGAAAAACTCTCAACTCTTCCGTCCGTACGCTGCCAGCAGCGAAGGCGACTGAAAACAGAGAATCGGCCGGCAGATTGTCGGTCGCATAGACGCCCTTGTCACGCATTGAAAATGAAAATTTGGTCCTGAATCAGTGGCGCCGTCTCGTGGAAGCGGGAACAGTCATTTCATCTTTAAGATTTTCCTATATGTCTCCTTTTATACAATTTGCGTTCTCCATTAATTTATACCACGAAACTTTTATACGATTATATTATGATTATAATAAAATGTAATAGCAGATATATTACGTATAAATAAGAGGAAATTAATTGGATTAAATATTCTATAAGATTTTTGTTAAACAGGAAAATAGTGTATTATTCTTTATTTTAATAGATGTAAATATAACCTGTAGAATAATTTAAATTATAACATTAATAGAATTAATAAATTTCAATTAATAACTCCTTTAGCTTTATCTTTTATTTATACTAACTACACTGAGGTTTGTAATACTCCCCAATAGTAGTTTCAGTATAGAATTTGGATACGATGAGTAAATTCGCGTGAAAAGATTTAACATAAATTACATTATTATTTGACTACACACATTAACATATTAACCAACAAGTATTGTATTATCATCGAGAAATTCATGGGGGGGTACTTCCAAATTCAAAGGTGCGGGTCCTTTCCTAATTCTACCACTAGCATCATAATGAGAACCATGACAAGGACAATAGTAACCACCATAGTCACCGGCATTTGCAATAGGAACACATCCTAAATGCGTACATACACCTAAAACAATCAACCATTTTGACTGTTGCACACGTTCGCTGTCTGCTTGTGGATCTCGAAGACTTTTTACATCAACTTCTGCTTCCCTTGCGATCTCTTTTGCCGTTCTATTATTATTTCAAAACAAAAAACAAGTTTAACTTTTGCATCTGTAATTAAAAAGAAAATAATTCTTATAAATATTATACTTTAATAATATTTACCTATGTCGCACAAACAGTGGTTTTCCACGCCATTTAAAAACAGCGCTCTTTCCTTCAGGAATATTATCAAGCTTAACTTCAATTGTTGCTAAAGCTAATACATCACTTGCAGCGCTAAAAGTAGCTGCTCCATGATGCACTATTGCTTTAGCACTATAAGCACCACAAATTCCAGTAGCTGTATAATGAATCAAAATGTATAATTCTCTATCATTCTAGAACTGAAATAATACACACGAGATAATGAGTGATGATTTATTTACCAGCTGTTATAATATATTGAAATCTTTTACGATCACCCGAACTTTTCTTGGCTTTAGTTGTTGGATCAAGTGTAGATTCGTGACGATAGTCAGAAAAATCAGGCCACTGAACATCAGTATGTGCCAACCTTCTTTGTATTGCAAGTAAGCTCACTGTAAAAATCAATTCCATGAAACTACTGTTCTTCACTTTGAATAAAATACATTTCTATCCCATAATACGAAATAACAATTTCGACGTAAAATCGATTTCAATGTTTTAAAAAAGGAAAAGATTTATACAATATTTAAAATAGACTCAATTGATATAGCAGTAATCTATGAAACATGTATCGTATACATTACATAATCGTAATATAGAAGAGTAAATTTTGTTGAAACAAACATGGAAACTAATGATATAATATACATGTAAATGATTCGAACCTCCAATTCCTGAGCTTACACGCAAGGATCCAGTAATAAGAGATTCATTCAAACTTTGAGGGACCATTCGTTTGACGACAGGTTTAGTAACAATTTTTGGTTGAACTACAATACCCCGCCCAGATACTGGTTGCAATCCATTTGAAATGACAGTCGCCGATTTTAATAACGGCGCGAGGTTTGTCGATTTCGCTACAACGTTCATTTTTCTCAATTACGCACAAACCTTCAAACGGAACAACTTCATCGAACACCAACTATAAAATTCAAAGACCTACACTGTCAGATGTCTCTATGATGCAACTTTCTGTGAATATATAGATGTCGCACTATAACGTATCGAAATAATTAATTGGACAACTTAATATTTAAAAGTTATAAAAAGACTTGGAAATAAAATTTATATAAATAAGCAAATAGATTATTACGTATATACAATTAATATTTAAATGAAAATTTTAATATGTAAATTTCATTTTTTAGGAAAACTATTCATGTTACATGGCGGAATTTATTAGCCTTTCCTGTGTAAATGTTTTTATTGGGAAAAATTGAAATGTACATTATTTTATACAATTATGTAACAATACAGTGATAAAGACAACGTTTAAAAATTATATTACTTTGATCACATTATTTTATATATATTCTTTCCAATTACGAGCTACATCATCCATAAAGTTGTATATACGATTAAAAATTGATGTGCATTTTAACCAAATTTTATATGAAATATCAATGATGTATAAAAAGTTTAATAGATGGCGTAACTAATAGTCCAATTTTATGAGCTTACGTTCATTCCCTTGGTTCTAATTTTATCTAGGGTTTTCGTAACAGCATGCAATATGCGCATCGAAACGTGTTATTTTTGTTCATCTCGAATTTTTCCAGGGCATGGAATACAGTTTGTAAGAAATGATTGTAAGGTAAGAATTTTACAATATACTTTTTCATACTGTCAGTAATTTATGTTACTCTATCTTAAAAAAGTATATTTCATTGTATTTGCCTTTCAATCATGTTCAGGTTATGTGTACATTCAGAAACTACTTCGTTTCTGTATTTGGTTATCCATTTTTATAAATATACGAATAAGTGATAATTATTTGTATATATGTAAACTATGTTATAAATATTGCTACAGTTACACAGTTATATTATGTTCTTTTTTGTGTTATAGATATTTAAATTTTGTCGGTCAAAATGTCATGCTGCATTCAAGAAGAAGAAAAATCCAAGAAAAGTCAAATGGACTAAAGCATATAGGAAAACAGTTGGTAAAGAACTGGTAGTGGATCCATCATTTGAATTTGAAAAAAGAAGAAATATTCCAGTTAAATATAATAGAGAATTATGGAATAATGCAATTGAAGCAATAAAGAAAGTAGAAATGATCAAAGACAGGAGACAAAATCTACATATAATGCAGCGATTACGTAAAGGACGTGAAATAGAACAAGAAAGAGATATCAAAGAAGTTCAGCGTGATTTGTCACTTGTGAGATCACCCGCTGTAGGTCTCAAAGGAAGAAAGAAACTAGAAGAACAAGCAGAAGAAGAAAAGATGCAAGAGTCTAGCGATGAACAAAAAGAAGAAGAAATGGAAGCAAATTAATATTATTCATTATATGAAGATTACATTCATTTGTAACACAATATGGTAACTTGCATAAAAATATGTGATTACATTTATGAATGCACATATTACACCTGATTGTGAATGGAAAAAAATGTTTGTTTATAATAAACAATAATTTATGTCAAATAATTGATTTTTTATAGTACAATATAAAATAATTTTATTAAAAGTTTGTAAATAAAAGCTATATAAGTGTAAAGTAGTACAAACATTTTTTTATATTCAATACTTTTTTCTATATATATTATTTTTTTATATGTTAGATTTGATAAGTAATAATAAATAAAATTAATTTTGTTAGGATTGTTAGGATATATAGTTCTTCACTTATATTACTCCCTGTTTTGATCCTGTTTAGAAAAATTATTCATCTGTTTGATGGCATTTATTATTTTATTATATTAATATAAACAAATAAACTATCAACAGTATCATTCACAGATTAAGATTTATGTTTTTTCTAATAACAGAATATTTCATTTAATTTCATTGCAGTACCCACTATGTGCTATAGTCAGTTTTAATGCTCTCTTGGTAATGTGGGCAACGCGGAAATGGTAATGAGACCTCTAGAACCTTTAGAGTTCTAGAAAATTTGGTCAATGAAATGCAAAATATAACTATACCTTGGTTGTGCTATACACAAGTAACAGAAGATTTCGTAAGATAATAGTTCTCAACTTACTCGTTATACCTTTCATAAGTTTGCGCTAGGTGGCACCACTAAACTATTTTCTACTACCTCTAAACAAATCGATACATTTATTATTAATACAATCAACTAATTACGGTATTAGTTTTTTAACGATTATTACGAAAAAAATAGAAACTATGTATCGTTACCTAAATAAGCATAATATTGTATACAATTAGGAAATGGAACATCGAGACAAGAATCTTCCAAATTGTTCTAATCGAATTAAATTAAAAGAAAAATTGAATACATAATGCAATATGACGCAAATGTACGCTGTAAATAAATACTTAAATAAACACTTTGTGATATTAAAATAGTACTTCAGATAAATTACGATATTACAAAGGCAACACATATCTCCTATTACATATTTTAAACTTTATTTTCGAATAATATACCTCGCTTCACCAATTAATTTGAATACATAATACACGAAAGAATTTTAACGAATAATCTTAAAACTTAACTCTCAACTATACACCTATAATTATAATCTATTCTGACTAAATTAAAATTCACATGCCGCATTATTACGTCTTTTCCTCGGACGCCTTTATTCATTATTTATTCATCGAAACAAAAATTATAGTTTCCCTAAATGAGACTTCGAAATATATTCACCGATAAAACCTACAGCGTCTAATTATACTTATTATACCTTCGAATCTGGAAGAAAAATAAAAAATCAATACACTACGGCAAAAATCTTAAAACGACTGATAATTTTTACCACATTCATTGTCCATTTCGAGCATCGTGCTACTAACGACATCGATCACGTAAACGACTGCAAAGACATCATATCGATCTACCCTCCTATGAAACGCTGTATGGCATGGCTGTGAGCTTTCCAAAAGTTTGCTGACCCTCGAGAAGGTGTTCGACCGTGCCGGGTCCCAGGTGAAGAAAACGTGCTTTCCAAGTGGTCGTACGCGGCAAGGTGTGACCACCGCACCTCGATGACACTGTAAACACTCGGCTGGTGTTTCCAGCAATTACCAGGTAAACCACGGGGTGTTGTTTGCCACGGACGAAATGTGTTACAACAACAGAAGAGCGGCGTACAAGCTGCGCGAGTGCGCGTGCGCGCGCGCAGACACGAGTTGTGAGAGGGGCCGACGATACAGGACCCACTCGACTTACGCGGCAAGAAAGGATTCTCAAGGGCATGAGCTTGCAGATTTCTTCCGCCCGACGAACTTACCGTGGCCAATCTTACCGGCGGTCTACCCTTTGATTCCTGCCGACCATGTTTGTTCTAACCTCGGCCAACGTAAACTCGAAAATTTCCTCTTAATGGAACGTCGATCGGCTTATAATCGTTCCTCCTATTAGTCGTGCGTTAGTATATTTGCCGTTCGACAGATGACACCCCGGCAGCATTCCTGAGGATAGTAACAAAATAGATGGAGTTTTGTTTATCTCGCGGTAATTACGAAATATAATATGAATTATTCGCGTTTCTAGATGGAGCTGCAGTCAATGTTTAATTTCGCTCCAATTATCGTTTTAGTTTCAATCATTTAAAATTACAATTTCTTATATCGAAGTTTCGTTCGATATTGGTATGTGAATATTATTAAATATCGAAACACAACAATATAAAATATAGTTATCGAAATAAAAGTAGTAATTACTAAGTGTTTTGTTCGAAAAATTTAGATTATAGTACACGACAATATAGAACACCCTATAACTTTAGTCGCTTCATGACTAACTTTAAAGCGGTATATCTTGGCGGGAAAAAATCGTACGATCATAAACCAAATTTAATTTTACAGGTGAGAATTAGTACTGTACGATGTCGTTGGCCAAAATATTGGCAAAAAATCACTATCTTCGTAATATTTTCGTAAACTCGAAGAACAATAAAAATAAATTGCACATTTCTACATTCTACAAACATATTAATAGGAGTCGAGCGCAGTGACGGATCTAGTCTCCAAGGTACCCGAGGCATTAAGAATATTTAGGATCTTATCAAAATAAAAATCGAAACTCACCCGAATTATCCGAATCCCCGTAAGAACGTAATTCCTATAATCCCTATACAAAAATCCGATGCTTACACGATCGTACCATGAGAACTCAGCCATTCTCACAACACAGAAGGACCCAAAACTAAAAAAAAAAAAACGGAATCTCATTTAAACTGTTTCGCGCGTTGATTCACGACCGAATTCCACAACTCGACGACCCTTTTTTATCACGCACGTTCGACTAGTCGCATCAGGTGATTAATCATTTTTTCGAGCACCAGAAGCGTCCGACGCCATCTTGCTCGCTACCCAGCCAGCACTCGGATTCCGTTCGTTCCTTCTTCGAGATTAATTACAATGACAATATCCAAACGAAACACATTCTATCCGGTATAATACGATGATCCACTCGAAGCTTGGCAACAATACCGCGGGCTATATATACGCGACAGCAGGGCCGAAAATTGAAAAGAAACGCGTAGGTAACAGGCGACACGACGGTTCGGGGAATCGTTGGAGGGCTCTCGGGGTCCAACGACGGTATTCGTGGGTCGTTTGGCGCGCGAAAAAGTGTTTTCGACCACACGCAATATTGTGGCCGTGTTTACTGAGGAAACAGACGACAAGGTGGTCGAAATACGAGTTGCACGTGCCGCGAATCGCAATTACGATTTTCGTGGGGCGAAACTATCGCTCGTCCCGGGCTTCTTCATCCAGAAATACATCCTTTGTACGGCTGCTGAGCGAATAATAGCCCCCGTATGATCGATCGCGCTGAATCTTAAGGCGGGGTTCATTCATGTATCCGATTTCCTCGCACGATTACCGCGGCAGGGAAAACACTTCCAGTGTTGTTAATATTAATTCGTTGCGCTCGGAATATTCTGCACGCTGGCCGATCAAGGATGCTGATTTATCGCGGCACTGTGTGGTACATATTAATCGCACGGAAGACGCGGTTCTTTTCCCAGTGAAATATCGTGGTGAGGAAGAACTCCGAGCGCAGACGTGCAACAGACCTGACGGCGTGGAGTGGTTACAAATCGTGTCACCTACTTTGGGTATCGTCTACTACCATTATCAAAATTCCGGACTTTCAAAAATTCTATTCCGAGAATTTTTTGGACCCATCGCGTGCCATTTTCGGGGGTCAGTGTCGTAGTCCGTTATTACACTAGGGAGGGACTAATTTCACTGTTTACCAAGAAGCTTCGTTATTCTCTTTAAATTCCAACAATATACAATTATATGAAGGTAATCATAAAGGGTGTCCCAAAATTCGAAATTGCGAGATTTGAATTTTGCGCCACTTGTGCGGCACAGTGTTGCCAACGAAGAAAAGAGACAGCGTGAAAGTTGACAGTTCAGGGTTACTAAATATGAAGCATTACGTAAAAGAACAATGCGTCTTCATTATTAAGCAATATTTACAATTGTTAATTAAAAACCTGTGTTTCTTATCAAAATTACTTGTTATGTGAATGTGGGAGCCCCTATACGTGTAATTCACCATTCTTTCCCTTCATTTTTCATCTTCGTCGTTTTAAACCGTGACAACAATGGCGTCGGAACCGGTATCATGGCGTCGTTTCCCTAATCGTGCCGCGTAAGAAGGTCCTTGTAATAACATCTCTCGTCGAGGTCACGAAAGCAGTGCGTTCATAAATAAACAAAGAGACTGCACCGGTGGACTTAAAATAGTTTGTCCGTGGCGTAGCGAGGCATTCGGTCGGACAATATTATTTTATGGTGACCAATGGTCGGCCACGGTCCCCGAAATACGCGTCGGGAAGGACCTTCCCTGTGATCTCGCCGATACCTTCGAAATGCAAATCACCCGTGCACGCCTACGGCGGAAATTAATGGAAAATGGGTGAAACGCGTGCTAATAAGACGCTTTCCAATTAAGCCGCGATTGTCCACGATATTTTTGTTCACCGTTCGCAGCGTTTTTCCAACGGCTCGTTAATCTTCCTCGTTTATGCTCTTAACGAGAGGAGTACCCCGTTTTGTTGGTTATTCAAGCAAGCGAATTCTTCCTATTTTAAATTCTTCGGGTGTATGAATAATTCTTGGCCCATGGGGCACGTTTCGATGCGAGGGAGAGTCGAGGAGTGGGCGATTTTGGGAATTTTCTTCGAAGAGAGTGGAGCCTGTGTCGTGATTAATTTTTAAAAAATTATTACGTCTTTAAAATTTGGATTATTCTTAGTGGTACTACGATTGGTAGTAATTTTGGAAACTATGTTGCCCATTTAAAATAGGAAATTTATTTATCCTGTGTTTTTGTTTGTGGGTATTTATAGATTTAAAATGAAAAATTTGTTACCCAACTGCACTAAAAAAGGAGGGAAATTGAATTACATAATTATATAATTACATAAATATCGAAAAATATAATTTTC